GACTCGTCATTTTTTGATGCTTCGTCATAGCGAAAAGCGGTTCTCATGAGTTGATCCTGCCTTCTCGTCTTTTTCCTTCGCTGCATACGACCCAGTCGCTGTGCGACGCTGAGGTGTACAGACTTTCCCCTTGTAAGCTTCCCATACTGGGCGCCTGGTAGCAGTCATTTAGTCTTGCATGGGTAGGATCTCATGTCCACATGGTGGAGCCTTTTGCAATTGCCATTGTCCCACAGTGCGTGCCAAACCCACCTGTACCCATCACATTAGGTGACAAGGGGCGGTTGTGGGCGCGCGTCGAACTGTCGAATCGCAAGTCCGTGCATCCAAATGGGGGGATTACATAATGTATTTGACTTAGAAGAGTGTCCCCACAAAACCCAGAAACCCAGAACTCCCCAGAACCCAAAGGTCTAGTCCTGCACAGTGATTGGAGCATTTTTGGTCATATTCCAGCAAGTCTTTTGTCTCAGAACTACAGGTGTTGAAAGGTTCAATTCTTGCAGGTAGAGAGTTGATGGCGGCAACACTCAGTGCTTCTTTGAAAAAACTTCGAGAAAAAACAACTGGAGTAGAGATGAGTGGCTGTGATGGGGGTAATACATCGGATGGCGACGCTGCACGGCACGTCCATCACTTCAGGCGCCAGCGTCACCATTTGGCAGCGTCCTGGCATGTGGCACGCAGGCGGCCGGGTGGAGTGCAGGCAGTGCATGGCGGGCGATCGCTGTCGGACAGGGCGCCGGATCACGAAGGCTGGTGGCGCCTGTATTGTATGCATTCTTCTTAAGTCATCAGATTTCTGTGTTGGAGGCCATGGCTATTAGGATGGAGGCCATCGCTATTGGAAAAAAGATGAGTCTTTCCGAAACGTTGGTGCCCAGAGTCTCCCTGGTGTCAAAACAAAACTCCGAAAGTGGACCAACAGAACTTCGGTGAGGCAAGTAACGACCAGTATCGACCAACCGACGTCCACATGGTTTCATGCATGTGACTGGGGAGAGTACACTCCAAATCATCATGGTGGAAGTGGAGTAAGTGAGTTCAATCCTAGGGGTTCCTGGCCTTACTAGGAGCAAGAAGCACGCTACGAACGGAACAAAGGGAAAGGGCATCGCGTACACGAACGGAGCGATCGGACGCTACGAGTAAGTAGCTCCTCCCAAGGTCATCGGATTGGATTCATCATCCGAGTCTTCGGGCCCTGGCCCATGGGACCCAGAACGCGTCTTGACACCTCATCTCCGAGACGGTTACACTCCCGAACACAAAACATTAACCCTGACGTCCTGGCCCGCCTGGAAGAGTGTTTTCCTCTACCAACCAGTGGTTTTCAGGGTCCATGTTAGTCTTCCAGGGTGTACTTAGGCGGGAGAGCCCGTTTTGTAACACCCCCACTCGTGACATGACACGTGTCTTTTTTGTTTGTTTCTAGCGAGTGTAATCCTTGCCAGGGCTCGAACATTTGCTTACTGTTCCGATTTTCTTGATTGAAATGGCACAGATTGTAAACCTCAGCAAAGGAGCCAGGGGTACTGCAGTTTTAGGTCGTCATTCCACCATTCCTCCGGATGATATAACTGATGTTGGAAGCCGGTAGGATAGCCAATTTCAAGGTGCCAACGATGATGATGTTGGAAAAGTATTGTATACCGATAATACCAATTACTTGTAGCACACCACAGAAAAAATTGAAGGACTTATACTACAACATATAAGAACCAAACCAGCAACACCTTACGCTTTGGGGCTGGCGTTTTTTTGAATATATATATATATATATTTAACACAATAAGAAGAACTGTTTACTATATATATAATACTATATAAGATATATATATATTTATAGTGTAAATTATCATGTTTCAATTATATATATATAGTCAAAAACCAAAAACACACACATAAAACGGTTGAAACACATTGATATCCATTATCTTGCCGGCCGTCAGACTGACGCCCCAAGATCGGTGGAGGCGCCTGCGTTCGCATCGCGACTCGCATCGCGACTCGCGTGGCAGTGCGGACCAGGGGAGCCACGGGGAGGTTGACAGAACTCACCGAGTTCAAAGAGTAAATCCTTTGAATGAAAAATTCACAAAGTCGCCTTGACATGTTGCTCTCACCAAACCTTGAAGATAAATTTTGCATCATCAAGTTCTATCAAGTTCTATATTTTTCTTGGTTGGAGGATAATGGTGTGCTTGGATTTGGGCCAGATGATCAACAGCGTGAAAACCAACCATGTGTTTGTGGATGTGTTCCTGTGATTTTATGGATGACAGTCGTGTGAAAATGGGGTCTTTGGAGAGAGATAGGCTATAGGTACTGTAGGACTGTAGGAAGCTTTATGTTGCCCCATGCGAGGAAAATAAACCTTGATACTACTTTGTCCATAAGGCAAGCCTGAGCTGCAGGCTATATTTCCAACTAGGGACATCCAAGACGTTATGTGGAAGCACCCAAGCCACCCCCCTGCCGTGGAATCTTCCCTATTGATGAGAACTATGCCACACTTTGTCAGAAGGGACCCCTTAGTACGGGTAGACTGTGATTTTTAGCCTAACTAGCTGACATGGGGGGTGGCCTCCCCTTGAAGCTTTGCGACCAAGCCATGGCATGGACCAGCCCAAGTTTGCTGAAACAGAGAATCCACTGTCAGAGTCAAGATTTGCACTCAACAGCCCACTGCTTTGATGCACGCTGTGTGCATCTGTAAAGAATACCCCCCCCTTTGAACATGTTTGCTGCACTCAATTCATTTGACCGTTGACCCGGCCAAATGCCTGAAAACGACCAGGCGGATTTGTACGGGCCACCCAGACAGCGGAGGAGTGGCTCAGTGACTTCCAAACACTGCAATTAGGGGAGTTGGGCTGGTTGAGCAACCACCAAAACGTGCTAATCTAGTATGCTGAGCAGTCGTGAGTTTCAGGAATTGGGCTGCAGAAGCGATAAGCCCGCCTCAAAAGCGATAACCTTGCTGAATCATGTCCTCTACTTGACGGTACGTTTTGGCAGACGTTCATATATAGTATTTCAACCTCGTGTGAGTGAAAGATGTGAACACAAAGGACAAGGTACCCCACGACATGAAGTCACTTTCTCCAACTTTCCCTCTCTCACACTCTCCCGGCCCTTCCTCCCTCTCGCTCGCTCTTTCGCTCCTTTTCGCTCCCCGTCCAGGAATGTGCCCCGATTCGGAGGTGTTGAAAGTTTCATTTTCTGTGTTTGTCCCTTCTTGCGATGATTGCATTCCAGACAACAAGCTGGCCGAACACTTCGTATGTGACTATGGCAGGCCAGCATCAACCTCCTACAGTCAGTATAACCTGTTGGGGGAAGGGTTTTCAATGGTGTTCAACAACTATGCAGCCAAATGCCGACATGCTTTTCCATGCAGACTGCTGTCCCAGGTCAGAAGTGGAAAACGTGTCCTGGAGGGACTGGCAAGCCGTAGGCACACACGTGCCTTCCTGTTTGGCTAGAACAAGTCACCGATGAGCAACGGCAGTCAGGGCCACTTGCCCCCCCTATATATTACTGGTAGGATCAAATAAATACAACGTGGAGGTACTGCGAAGCGGCGCTTTGGTGATATTTTTTGTTTGGGTATTGTTCCAATGAGATGAGCACAGAAGAAGCAAACCTCATCAGATTGAACCTGAGGTCATGTTTGTCGGTTGAAGAAGGGAAAATGACTCGGGGGACTTCTCACACATCCTTTTGACGACGGATTGGATTCTGAAGCAAACGAACACCATGACCTGATGCGACCAACACTTTGGGATTTCCATCCCTCAGGCTGGGTGATGAATGATATTCCAATGGGTGGAGACGTTTTGTCTCAAACACGTCGTGCCTCATGCTGAAACACAAGAAGCACTACGGAAGTCGCGGTTTCAACCGGGTGTAACCTCCCTGAGCTTGGCGGCCTCTAGCATCTGTTAAAATCTACACTTGCTGTGATTGATAGTCATTTGATAGTCATATATGTTGCAAAAGGGTGGTTTCTGCAAAGGTGCATGGTCCCAAAGTGTCCTATGTTTTTGTGGGGGGGCCAACCTTGCCTGGTTTTGCTTGAGGTGATTAGTTACTTAGTTGTGCTTTCCCGATGGGTAAATCCCCAAACGTGTGGACTATGATTTATATTGATTTATGAATAACATGTTTTTTCGTTTTTCCGAATGTTCCGCAAATCCAAGTCTTGATGCACATTGCTGAACGCTTTCTAACGCTCCGAAGTCGGAGGGAGAGACGATGGGATGTGAAGGTCCGTTCCTCGTGTGAACGCCGAAGCCGTTCCTCTGGCTCCAGCCGTTCCACCCAAAGAAGGGCAGAAGCGGTGGAAACACATCGTGGAGAATAGGGGTGCCCTATCAAATTCATCCTGGGAAAGCACGGGTTCTCTAATTCTTAAGTCGTAGACGGTAGCACTTCTCATGAGTGCATATCACCTGACCAATCATGCGGTTGCTGTATTGTCTCGTGTATTTAGCATTCTTGATAGGCTTAGCTACACGCGACTGCAGAAGTGTTACATCGATTTGTTGAGTATGCAAAAATAGAAGTATTTGTATTCTCTTGATTTTGTGTAGTTGTACTAATATGATCAAGTTTTTGTTCTAAGAATATATTATTTTTATGATCTCAGCTTCATGTCTAGAACTGATTTATAGGCGCATGAAGTTGGTGCGGTTATGGCGACTTTGCGTCTTCTCTCTATTTGTACAAGAGTTGTACAGATGAATGCATATGTAAAGCCAACAGCATGACTTTCACAGTCACTTTCAGTTCCCAAAATAGTGTCAAACACGTACTGAGTATAGTTTTGTTGCGTATTTGACGTTCTTGAGAGGTCTGAGCACGCAACTGATGTATCTTACATCAATCGCATTCAATAAAGCAAAAAAAAGATCTGGATGGTTATGATGACGTGTATTTGGAAGAAGATCTGAGTGACCATGATGATGTATCGTCACGGTCCAATCAAAGGCTCCCAGAAGTTCAAGGCATGCACCTACTGCAGCAGCACCAAAAGGTATGGAGGCAGGCTCTATACTTCCCAGAGCTGGTAAAGATGGTGATATCGAGGAGATCAGCAGAGAGCTTGAGGGGGAAGATATTATTAAGCACGCGCTGAGAGAGGTTGAAGAGTTTAGATAAAATATGTGAGAGCAGCGGAAGGTATCATAGAGGAAGCGTGAGCAGAGATGGGGTGCAGCGTGATTTGCTGACGCTTGTTGAAGGAAAACCTATTTCTACAAAACATGGTATGGTAAAGACCGATCATATTTTGTGTATTGCGTCAGGCGCGTTTCATACCGCGAAAAAAGAGGATTTGATGGCGGAATTTCAAGGGCGCTTTCCGATCACTACAAGACTCACTCCGTTGTCTCATTCAGATCTTGTAAAGATTCTTTCCGTTTGGTGAGTCAAAAAATTGAAATCATGAAGACGGAAAACGTCAAGCTGATTTTTACTGCAGATGGTAATAGACGAAATAGCAAATATCCCAGTTCAGATTAACGCGGATGATGAAGATACGGGTGCACGAAGGTTAGAAAGTGTGATGAAGAATCTGTTGAATGAGGTTGAATGAGGTTGAAAGCGGTGCAATGACGAAGACGGCTGCAGGAGCGTGCAACTGAAGCCGACTGGCCATGGAATAGCACTTGGAAGAGCCACCTGGCGGACTTTCTGGATAGAAGAAAACATGAAGAACAGGTACTGTATCGATCAAGATACTCTCCCAAGAAATACCCTTCTGAGCTCCAAGTTTGCTAACCCATCTAGACCCGTTTTTCAGATTCGGCTTTGACTCAGCACCTCTGACTTTGCTTTGACTCGGCGCTTGACCGGCGCTTTGGCGTTGTGTCCGTCGGTCCGGGACCGTGGCACCGCCGTGTACGCCGCGCATACGCCGCGGCGGACCTGAGGTGATGGCAAAGGCTGTGATGAATGCAGCTCCTGGGCTCTGGGGACAGATTTTGAGCTTTGTGGTAGGTAACGTTGACTTCACGTAAAGACCTCAGAGGCCCGATTGATTCGATGTGCCCCCCCGGTCGTCATGGTACTCCCCTCAAGGTCATGGGCATACCCACAAGAGGTCTTGAAAAGAGGTCATGGGCGTGTCGACTGTCCACCCACTCTGAAACCACTGTAGGTGCCTTCGGACGTCATGACACTATTGTATTCAGTTTGAGCTTCAGTTTGACGGTCTCCGATAGCAGAGGTGTCCAAGCTAATTGGCCTCCACCAAAAAGCATCAAGAAACTTTTTTCTGATTTAGTCTCTCACGGAGTGCGAGGCTCTTTGTGCAAGTTTGGATGGCATGCTCCCAATGGTCAGTACTATTGCAAGACTTGCTGGGATCATTGGCATACTTTGCCTGCATCGGTACCTGTACATCAGCGAAGCCGGGACAACGATTCTTGGATCCAGCATTATGGATGCGAATGCCTATGCCTCGTCGGATGTATTATGAAAGCGGTGGTTGGAGGGACATTGTAGCAGTGGTTGTGGATGTAGTTGGAGCTAGTTAAAGCACCTATATCCCCGTTAGGATTTTCTCTAGGAAATGGTTCAATCCAAGTCCCTTAGAAAAAACAAGAACAACAATATTTGTTCTAATGACACATGATTTTGTGTATTGGTAGAGCCCATGTAGAGCCCCACCTTTTTCTATACAACAGCATTTTTAATGGATTATACTATATGGTGTTAATGGATTATATTATACATACTATATAATATACCCTACCAATTCCAAGAGGACATTCTATAGCTGTCTTGTTTTTGAACATCATGGGACATGAAAATAGGTACGAGATCACTTTCTCGACGTTTTGCAAAAGAGCAACAAAAACAAGGAAACCGCTTTCTAGAGATAATCATATCAAACCATGTTGTCCAGAACAATGATTGTCCTGAAAAATCGAGTGCACAATTGAGTTGACAAAAAAATGAGGAAAGCTTGCTGTGTCATGGTGTATGTCAAACAAGATGTTAGATTGTACAATATTTTGCTCTCTAGAGATTGGTTGCTTGATGTTTATTCCTTAATTGTTTGGGCACTGAAAATATCTCAGAAATTGTCATTTTCATATTTTGCTAGCCATCAATCTGGTTCAACAATCACTATGTGTGGCGCCATTAATGCATATGTTGGTTTATACTTGCGGGATTTAACTCACAATGGAACCCGTACAAGACCATTCCCTAGAGAGGCACAAGATCATGAAGACAAGGTCTTGATTTCTTGCTTGTCTAGAGCATTTTCTCGACAGCATTTTTTACATGGCCAACACCATTTACCAGACCAAAGTGTATGCACCAACTGTTCTAGTTAGAGAATGGCAAATCCAGGTTCACCTTGTGTTTTTTGTTTTAAATAACGGGTGTGCACTTATTTGTTTTATTGTTTAAATCCGTGCGTTCAATGGTCAGATAAAAGAGAACTATATCCGCCATACTTGGAGGTTCTGAAGTTGCAGTTCGCAGTTAGCAGGATGCTGGAGTGTGACATGACTGACATGACCATTCTCCTTGTTTCTTGGTGTAGACAGCTGTCACAACTTCCTTTTCTCACATGGATGTCATGTACTTTTATTTTTCGACTAACTCCAATTCCAAGAATCCATCCATCCAATTCTTCGTCCACAGGAGCTCCGTGTGACCCGGCCGCCCAAGCGCGGCTTCCGGATCTTCAACGGCTGCGCTTGCTGCGATCCGGCGCAGCAGCAAGACGCGCGCACGCGCATGGCGTCGCCCTTGTACCGGCGGCGCCACGTGGAGGCGCGTGGGGGAACCACAGCCAGTGCTGGTACACTAGAAGACCCAGTAACATTGAAGTAGAAGATCCACTTTTTGTAGAGGAAAGCCGTCTTCCAGGGAAAATGGGCCGTGTCCATGTTAGTGAGTCGTGTACTGGTTGGGTGTGATTGCGGGTTCTTTGAATCCTTTGGCTCTCAATACAGAAAACAAGTTGGCTTGGGACCGTTGAATGATTGAACCAGATGCTCCTTCGTCAAGCCGGTGGTATTGGGAGTGGCAAACTTCCGGCAGTGGCAAAGAGGGAGACACTTACTGAATGGGTCTATATACCGTCTATGTTTTCAGAGCCAATGCCCAGTTTGACAAGCAGGCATTCCGGCCACTTGCCTGACCTCAGCAAACGGTGGCTGGGCTCTACCCATGGAGATACCCCAAGGATTTTGTTCATCAACCCTAAGCAGCTTTACAGGTCCCGGAGCCGAGCCATGAGTTTGGAGATCCGAATAAGATGGCCTCCAACCGAATAGCAGCGGCCTCCAAGCCAGTAGCGAATTGGCCCTGCTAGGCAGATTTGAACAGACCGCATAGTGATGTTTGGCGATGATGCGATGCAAGCTGTGATGCGAGAGTTTGTTGGAAGTGATCGGGGAATGCAGAAACAGCCTCAGCCAATGAAGAAAGGTGCAAAGGGTTGAGCCCGGAGGTACCTGAGCGTGAGGAATCCGTCATAGTCAATCCGTGATGGTCAATATCGGTGACACCGGCAATTTTCAACGATGTTTGTCAGGAGTTGCAGAATCTCTCCTATTGTGACGCTCATTGCCTCTTGTGCTGGTCAAGGGTGGATTTCTCAACACGGTAGCAATCAAGAACCGCAAAAGGACCTGTGAACAGTTCGAAACCTTGCCACCAACAGACCAGGAAGTGGGACTTCAATGTAATGTTTCAAACATGCAGGCTGTTTCTTGCGTGTTAAAAAGTACGTACCTTCAGCAGCATGTAATGGCATGTGAAGACAACCTTTTTTTGAGGAGTCACCAGCAGTCAAGGTTGGGGTCATGACTTACTTAGACGGGTCTTGTTGAAGTAGGGCAGGGCTCTCATGTTCAGTCACTTGTTTCAGAGGGTATCACAATCACCTAAAACGACCGATTAGAGAGGAGAGTTTTTGTGTCATCCCTTAGAAGGTACATTGCTAACAGAATCGTGGGAGAGCCCTGAAGTAGTTTCCTTCCTTCTACCTTGCTAGGTACATAGAATTGGGCTCCTCTGCCATTTGAGAAGTTGAGAAGATGTGGTAGCGTCGTTACAAAGGGGGGACCGGATGTGTCAGAGTGACATCGTTTTGTTGAATTCATATAGACTTGGATGAGTTTGGCCGGAGCCACAAGATATCGAGATGTAAAAAGCCAGCATTGGGTTGTACTCCTGACTTGGGGGCGCTCCGATCTGACTTGCTCTCAGTCTGTGAAGTCTTCAGGTCATTTGGACATTTTGTTGCACAACTTGAAGAATGGCGGAAAGCTTTGGGGAGGAAAAGAAAAGCTTTGCAAGATGTGGATCACTGGAGATTGCTGGTACGGCAGGGAAGCTTGGCTTTCTTCGTTTCTTTCATGGGGCGGAGCTGCTCCACTTGTGCTCCTCTTGGGCAGGTGTTTCCGGTGTTCCTGGCCCCGGCATGCTGGAGGCCCAGAGATTGTCTAGTTGCCAGTGACTGGGGCACTCTCTTGCCTTAAAGAACAATCTGGATTAGCCTACATCTTTGGGCCACGACCCGCCAACATCCATCGACGACCCGCCAACATCCACGCGACCGGCAGCTGTGTCTTGGACCCATGGTCATCGTCTTAAAAGATACACCCCTTGCCAGGAATGACCCATTAGGGGAGCCTAATTATTGGAGAATAGGGGTGCCCTATTGGAACTACTTAAAGAAAGGTAAATTATTTTCAACAGAGGTCCCTAAGTTCCAAAGGGGTGCCCATGATCCATTCACTTAGACAAGTGACCCCAGCCAGTAGTGACCTGGGGTGAGGACCTGCACATACCTGCACAGCCGACCCCTCGTTCCACCTTTTGACGTGGGGCTTGGCCACCTGAGCCACGTGAGGCCACCTCTTTGCGGTGGGATGATGTTCCAGTTGATGTTCCTTATTGGGGTTCCAAACATCCAGCAAACCACGATCACGTTCAAATTCCACTTGGAGAAGGTGTCAACACTCTCAACCTGCAGTTCTTTACCCTGTGTTTTCTTTTTGCCGCACTGCACTCCAGCACCGCAAGGCCAATCACGTTCTCACAACGCACCGCACTGCGCACCCATTGGCCTTTGTTAGCTGTCTTTTTCACCTGGATGTCAGCTAGGGTTCAGCTGTCTTTGCTAGCTCGGGCTCATCCCGGAGCATTTGTCCAAAAAGATGTCAGCTGCTAATACAGAAATAGCTACTTTACTTCGAGTGATCTCCACCATGAAATTTCAATCATTTGTCTTCATGCCATGGTGACGAGCACGTTGCCATGGTCGTGAGTTTGTGGTTCTCGGTATTGCTTGTGGGTCCTTGGGTTGTGTGCTGTGGTTGTGTGTTGTGGTTGTGCGTTGTGGTTGCGTGCTGTGGTTGTGTGTTGCGACTGTGTGTTTGTAGTCGTGTTTGTGGTTGTCTTTGTGACTGTGTGTTTGTGATTGTGTTGGCGGTGGTGTTTGTGATTGTGTGGCTGTGTGTCTCTGATTGTGCTGGTGGATGTGTTTGTGATTGTAAGTTTGTGATGGTGTGTTGTGGTTGTGTGTTTGTGGTCGGCGTTTGAGGCTGGCGTTTGAGGTTCGGCGGGGAACACTGCCAGCCGAAGCTCGCGTTTGAGGTCCGGCGGGGAACACTGCCAGCCGAAGCTCGCGGTTGAGGTCCGGCGGGGAACACTGCCAGCTGGAGCTCGCGGTTGAGGACGATGCGGGGGACGAGGAGGAGCAGGAGGAGGAGGAGAAGGAGGGCATGATCTGACATAAAGTCTCACAACCCTCACCTGACAGGTGGGGAAGCTCCAGCCATCCATCACCCGCTGTGATGAGATGTGTTTTTTTCCAGCGGTGCGGTTGAGTAGATGGCACAAATGTCCAATGTCGCTGGGCTCCTCAATTTATAGATTATGTGGACCCCCACTTAAAGACATCTTGGGGGGCCCAGTGCCGCTCTGATGGCAACCACCTGCTTGAAGTCGGTCTGAAGCGAGGACTGTGAGTACGCTCACGGAGAACATGAGCTTGTACCTCGAGAAGTCCTGAGCCGAGAGCATGTGGAAAAGTATTTGCTGGAGCCCAGGACAGAAAAAGAACATGGGGGTCCACTGCCAACACCCGGTGTAGTATCTATCTATATTTGATATTTAGTGTGACTAATGTGTGACGAAGTCGGATTTAGTGTGGCTGATGTGCGACGGGATGTGATGAAGTCGGATCAGTCCCTATGCTTCCGGATTTGTTGGATACTTTTCAGGCCTGCTGGACACTTTGAAGCAAACGTGTTTTTTATTCTCTCCGACCTGGCGTGCGCATTCCACGACGGCCTTGGCAACGACCCGTGGTTCCTGTCAGATGAGGTAAGTATAGACAGACCAACCGAAGGTGGGATTCTCAGATTTGGGAGTGGGGTCTTTGTTGAATGAACACCGTGGTTTTCTTCCTGGTACCACTGTTACTCACAGGTCTTCAACAAAGATGTCATTGGGCACTGATCTTCCAATGGGCCATTTTATCAGGTTTGCTGCTTGAAAAACATCTTTTTGCGGGCTGCTAGGTCTGGCCACTTACTTTGGAGAAGTCCTGTTCCACCAGCAGGGATCAGATTAGATCACCCTATTGTTTATAGCATTTACATGCATTTACACACATTTAGTGTATGTGTGAACTCCATCTTCTCTCCAAACCACGGGTCTCTGGCCACTCCACTTCTGCCTCCATCCGAATCCTGCGGTTTCGAGCTCAGCTAAGGAGGTACGCACGAATCCACAACATGCATCGTTAAAATGGGTGCCTCGCTTTCCGGATGGGCTGACAGATGGCAGTGTCGGGACCAAAGATGTTTCGGTGAACATACCATAATTGTGAAAAAATATCATAGTTGTGCTCTTGATTCTATTTTTGGGGGGACGACATACTGACGATTGGAGCAGAACATCAACATCACCAAAAATGTTTATTATATAATACATATTATATGATGTATATATATTGTATTATATACACGGATCCCTCTAATTTCATACAAATTGATTACGCAAAAAAAAATGTTGATCGAATTCGAAGAAACATTGTTTGAGTCCGTACAAGGTTACTGTTTGCCAACATTAAAAACACATTAATAATAAGCAAGACGCGCTTTGATAGTTCGTCTTTCTCAGTAAGGTATTGCAACTCCTTTTCAGATCAGTAGTCATGAATAAGCAACTGATCTTTTTGGGAGCATGTCCAATACACATTCACCAGTTCCCTATGGTTTTTGCATTGTTCCAGGTTCCTGCTTAATGGTGTTTCTGGCAACTCTACTCAACGCATTGTTTCCGCCCACGCAACTCGCCTTGCCTCCGCCATCCCCCCCCAGCGCGTTGCCACGCCCATGCGGCCCTCCGTTTCACCGAGTTGGTGACCAACTGCTGCGAGCTGGACGCGATTGAGGATACCAAGAGCCACGACTGGGAGCGCGAAGTGCGCGGGTCGGGACCCGGGTCGGGACGCGGGTCGTTGGGTGTTTTTTACGACGACCCCCGGGGCGGGTTTTGGGATGAGACGCCTCACCATCCGGGTCGCATCCCCTGTCCGATGAAGTCAGGATGGCCAGTAGGCCGGCAGTTCAAGGACCAGTCGTGCACTGCTACGTTCCTAAGGACGTGTTTCTCTTCTTTGTGTATTTTTGGCTTGGAGGGTGCACAGGGCAAACACTACATGTGCCCGGAACATATTCATTGTGCCGACTGACCTCTTCGAGGGAGTACATGTGGGTGATGTTATGGCACTAACAATGCTGTCCTTACACCAGCAAGAAACATTGCATGTTCAACTGCCATTGTATGCGCTGAGCATCCGTATTTACTTCGTTACAACTGCAGTTGTACGGATGTTCAACTCCAACTACTGCAGCCCCAGCAGAAAAAATGCATTGACACTCCAGCTGTTGGCAGCAATTCTCACGTCGATGACTCGGAAAGCCCAGTTGCAACACTAGTCATCGGTTCCGCTCCGCTCCGGCTTTGCTTCAAGGATCATTATTGAATGTGCAGATCAGCTTGGACTGAATTCCGTCTACTGCTCCTTGGGCTCCTTAAAACGTGGAATCCTGGAAAATGCAGATGCAGCAGCACCCAGTCCACACGGTCGGCCTGAACGAAGGTATCCGGCTAACATAGCAGACATCAGCACACCACCTCAAAAACACCGGCTGTCAGTCCAAGCAGATGTGTTTTGTCCGCTTTGTTTTCCAAGAAACACCAGCAGGGGTCCCCCCAAGAAGCAACATAAAACACGCACAAGCTTGGAACGCCTTGTTATTGAGCTGTTTTCACAGAAAGGGGATCTGGCTTCAACAGAGAGGAATCTTTACATGACGTAGTTATGATATGATATGATGTGATATGATAGGATACTACTTGATGATATCATAATCCAGCTTTGCAGATGCAAATCCAGCTCTAAGTGATAATCAATAGGACAAGAATAATGGACTAGGTTTCCATGGGGCAATGATTTGTTATATTTCTTTGATGGCCACCCCAAGCCACAAAATCGGACCAAATTCTGAGGACCAAACAGATTCTGCTCAGTGAGGGGGGGTTGAGCATGTATTGTTGTATAGTTATTGATTATATTTTTCCTTTTTTGTGGGCCCTTTGTTGTTTTCTCCTGGTTGTATGTTGGAAGTTGCGCAACACACTTCCGGTGAATTTCCACCAGACTTCAATGTATAATCTTCCGCTACAAGTTTAAAGACCCAGTAAAACATGGTCATTTACCTCCTTGAGTAGTGTTGTTGTATGACCATTGACCGGCAGGGTTCATAGTGGCAACGCACCTCCAGTTGTTACATATTTTTTGGAAGACAGACCACTGACCAAACGAGGCAATCGATATCTTTTGTGCTTGAATTGGATCGTCTTGTGAGGCACTCTTGGTTGTCATCCACATGACTATCGTGATTTTACCGAAGAGGCCCGTCAACATGTGTGACCGACACGCAGGCAATGCACTTCGGATGCGCCCAACGGGCGGTTCGCGCTTCAACCAGACCATCCACGGGCGGTTCGCCGGTGTTGGCCTCTTAGCACTCTTTTTCGCGTGTGAACGTGACCCAGACCATCCGGCTGGTTGGTTTGGGGGATCAATGGGGCGACACATATACATGAATGGTTTGGGTTGTGATTATTATGTTTGTCCCCGCAGGCGGAGAAACTCTTGCGCAATGCAATCCAAGCATTTGGGAAGCGCATGGTGGCTGTTGGCGAATGCGGGCTTGACTACTGGAAAAATTTCGATGAGTCCTGCGACGAACAAGAGAGCCTTGGAATCCAAGACATGAACCCTCACTCGAGTCCCTATGTGCCAAGGGAATACCTTGCTCAAGCATTTTGACCCAGTCTCTTGTTGAGTTTGGAAGATGCCAAAGCTGCTCAAACATGCTCGAGTATTGAGACGTTTTAGCACATGTCATGTCAGGTTGGTTTTAAGGTGTTGTAGCATGTCGTGTCAGGTTGAATTGCTTATTTATTTTTGCAGGGTTCTGTGGGCTACTGGCTAGGTCCAGTCCATGTGTTAAATGGCAAAATGGAAGGACTTCTGTACAGCGACTCCTGATTCATGAACACTGACCTTGGCCAACTTAAGCGGACCAGGATTACATGTGCTACTGTAGCTGCTAGAGTATCTTCAATTCCCGCCCAATTGATGACATTCAGGTACAAAACCACGTAGGCGACCACAGTTCAGTTCGTGCAGTTCAAGCCATTTGCTCACCTCAGGTGATTTTTTAAATGCCACGGGGTGTGAATGAATTCACCAAGTGACCCACGTAAAATTCACCCCGGGCAGATGAAAGAAAGATCCCCCTAGGCCTCTCATGTTCCATTGGATTCGATTAGTGGATCACTTCGTTTAGCTGCACTTTCTTAGTAGGTTTTCAACAGCTATTTGCAGGACCTGCCCCTCATGAGTTTCAATCAGCAAAAAGCTTTTCCACGGAAAGTGTGCCCCTATCAGGAGGAAGTTTCCGGACCTTCTTCCTCCAACTCCAGTCCAGATTTCAGGTTTCCTGGGTTTCTTTCATCCGCTTTCATCGATCCAGATCGAAACGCTGCGATCCCCAGGAGAGCCAGAATGCTGGATGTCTTCGCACGACAGGTTCGTATGGGTGTTGACTATGACCTTCCAGTGGTGGTCCATGCGCGTGATGCGGATGGTGACACCTTGGAGGTCTTGAAGCAGTTTTTGCCAAAGGAGCACAAGGTCTACATTCATGCCTATCAGGGTGTCTCGTTGATATTCATGCCTATTGGAGCGTATGGTTGTGGGTTGTACTAATTAGGGCCCAGTTTGCAAAGTTCAAGCTTGCGCTGGAAATCATGGGTATGGTGCTTCAAGCGAATACATATAAGAACCACAAAACCACTCCTATGCGGCCAGTGGTAGGAATAGTATTAGATGCGGATAGATGTTGAAGAATAAGAACGGGGGATTTTGCAGATAAGTCCTTGAAGCCATGTGAAGCCCCTTGACTTTGCCCTTTTGCAGCTTTTTGTGATGTTCAGCCGTCGGATGCCGGCGGACCCACACGGATCGTCGTCAAGAAGGTCTACACCGGAATCGCTCGGACCGTCGGATGGCGCCTGTGCCCTCTTCCAGGTCCAGTTGGACGATTTTTGGGGACCGAAGTGAAGGACCTCCGAAGTGAAGTAAAGAATGTGAGCTGAAGACCTTTTTTTGGGGGGGGTCCTAGTCGGTCGCCATGAGACCAGCCACCGTGCGTATTTCGTGCGTCCATAGTGCCGGCGTACGGCACTTTTGTGTCAGGGGGACACCCCATGGTGGTGGTAGGCCTTCGTGTTGGGCGTATCTTGGGGGTATAGTCGAGTGGTCGGCATCTCCAGGTTCTGTCGGGCGTTTTTCTTTTTTGTGGTGGTTCTCGTGTTTTCTCGTGTTTTCTCGCGTATCTCAGGTGGACTGCAGATGATGAACGATGCTTTACTGGAGTTCCCCAACTGTGTCTTCGGGGTCAGCAGCATGGTCTGGTGCAGTGAAGGTGCCAAGCGCCCTGGCGGAGTCGGTGGAGTCGGTGGAGTCGGTCAAGGCATGGACTTAGGCGATCCATGAGCAAGGCCCAGAACATCGACTGAGGGTTGGTGTTCCAGGTTCCAACAACGGAGTTTTGGCCGTGTCATTCCGTTTTCTGTTTTCCCTTCGGTGTTCTAATCAACTCTGAACCACCCGGATCACACGATCCACCAGTCTCCGTCAGCTGCCTTCATCTTCTCAGATCCACCGAGTCTCACCGAGGGCCACGGCCATCCACTGCCCTCTGCAGCGGATGGTCCTGGAGACGGACGCGCCCTACCTGGCCTCCGAGCCCTTCGACATCCCGGCGCTCGCAGAGAGGGTGGCGGAGCTGCCGCACGGCGTGAGGAAACAGGTCCCGCTCCGGTCCGAGCGTTGGGGTTCGTTCAAAGGCGGCAGGAAAACAGGCGGACTCCCAGCAAGAGCAGACTCTCTACAAAGTGTGTGTAAGTTGGTGTGTGCCAGTTGGTGTGTGTGAGTTGGCGTGCGTAAGTTGGTGTGAATGAAGCTGGAGTGTGTAAGTCAGTTGTGTGTGTGTGAAGTTGATGTGTAAGATGATGTTTGTAAGTTAGTGCGAGTCGCTTGTGTGTGTGTTTGAGTTGGTGTGTGTAAGTTGGTGTGAGTGAGCTGGTGTGTGTGTGTAAGCTGGTTGGTGTGAGTAAGTTAGCGAGGAGCGGCGGGAGGAGAAGGAGGAGGTCGTTAGGAGGCCCGAGAAAAAGTAAGAACTCCACATGCTAGTGGGGGGAGGTGGGGAAATAGACGGAAATAGTAAAATTACTGTACGTGTTTTCGTTTGCTTTGCTTCCAAGATGCGTGTTACTCTGTCGGGACATAAGTATCCACCTTCACAGGATGTTGTGACCCCCCTACCATGCAGGTATTGTATTAATCAATCGGTAGAATGACTCAGGTTCTTCTTAAACCATGATTCGAACATGCATGTTAGTTTGAATTAGCTTCTCTCATTGACTCGAATCCTTTCCACAAGTTCCTTTTGTTGACCAACATGATGAGTCACCCCCCGGGATATGGGCGCTGGGCGGGCGGCAGCCAACGGCTTTTTTCTCAGGAAGGGTGTGACTCTGGAGGAGGTGCTCCGAGTCACCTTGGAAGTGAGCCAAAACTTCTATGGCCTTGGCTAACATAGATGCTTCTGATCCGACTTGGGCCAAGTCACTCGCCTACGACGGATGTACGTGCTACCTTTTTGGAGTAGCCAATCTTTCTTATTGTTTGCCACGATCCGCCACTTACTGATAGCACAAACACTCACCACCCAGCAAGAATTTGGCCTGTGTGCTGCTAGACAGATTCCTGGTCGAGCTGCACACTTGCAAATCGGCTACTGGACACCTATCTTCAAAGAAACCGTTCAAGATGGCATAAGTCCTGCCGTAGCAGAACCTGATCGATGTCGACCTCAGATGAATAAATCAACCCGTGTTCCCAGAGAGTCTCTCTGGGACACGGAAGATTACTTCATCCGGGGTTCGACCTTGTTAGACCGTTCTTGCATGATTGAAGGAGTCCAAGTGGTGAGGAGAGCCATGAGCCGACAGCCGCGAGCCACCACGTACAGGTGATTGTTGGAAAGGAACTGTTCATGGTCCAAATCTTTCAAAAGGCGGGAGACCTAGAATTGACAAAGTGGATTGGCGGTCTACTTTCCAGGAAAATGCCCAACTTTGTGGTGAATCTCCACGAAAGGCGTATGGATGTTTGTGTGAACATTATAATCGTGGCCTTTGAGGTTCGCCGATGTTCTTCGGGCCGACTGCCCCTTTATCTTGCTTTGAGAAACGGTTTCACGCCGGCGTGGCCAGCCGTGTGGCTGCGCGCCATGTTTGGCTGTGAAGTCGGTCCGCATTGCTTCGGTCTCAGTGAAATGCCTGCCTCAACGGTCAACCAAGGGTCTCGGGTGACTGTGACTGTGCTGTTTTCAGAGCCTAACCAAGGCAGATCCATGGGATTTGCTGTATTTGCTGTATCATAGAGGAATCGGGTAATTAGTAATAGTGGCCTCGATGTCGGCATTGATTACCAGTCCCATGGGATCGCGCCATAGGGTCGGAATCTGTAGACACCTCCGTTCTGCCGTTGGTCGAAACGGCTTGAGAAACGGTCCCCATATAGTCCTCCGTTCTCATGATATTTGGTGTTAAGAAGCGATCGAATGGCGATCGATGTATTTTTAATGGCCTCATGAGGTTTGCACATCTCATACACTCTATCTTTAATGGCTCTTGATTCATAAACCCACCCATTTGATTGGACATCCGTTTCATATGGGGGGGGTTATGAATCAAGAGCCTACATTACAGATTCATGGAGCGACATATATTCACTATTTGGATGGTTTTTGCACATGAAACAGTCACATGCCACTAAGAGTTGACTGATATAGGTTTATCTTGATTTATCCGACTTTGTCACGATTTTCTCCGATATATGGATATAATGATATATGATTTGACTCAGAACCCATCACACCAGTGAATGATCTTCCACAACAGAGGTCACTCAGGGGGGCTTGGCATCAAAACACACTGGGACAGCAGAGCCCCGACTTCCAACAACGGTGCCTCACGACGCAGCCCTGCACCGCAACTCCTCTTGGTGCCGCCCTGGCCACAAAGACTCAACCACTCGATGCACGGAGAAAAGACACCAGAAATGCGGCGCTTACTGGGCCTGACATTGAAAAGCACGAATACCCAGGCAATGTGGTCGAGGATGGTTGAGGTATTTGTTCGTTCGGACGGATTTCCCATTTTCGCGCCTGTTTTTGACTTTCCAAGTTTGGAGTACGTAGAAACACGACCAGTCTTGTGCAAGTTACTTCCATGAGGCTTTGAAGGTGCCCCCCCACAAACTTCACTTCGGAGGCTGTGAGGCCCCCACCACGCCCTTCTGGCGGCCCTGAACCACATGCCGGGGGCGAGGCTAGTGGGCTCTCTATCCAAGTTTTAGACACACAAAGAGCACTACTTTATTTGGGTACATTTTTTACACTGGTAGTGGAAAGCAGGCAAACCACTGAGCAGGACGATCCATAGAGTTTAGAAAGTCTTTGTTCGGAGGCGCCGTAGGTCTTGGCACCGGGGGACGGTTTTTTCCCACTCAATGATCAATCGATGAAGAGAATAGACTACGGAAGTGCAAGTACCGGGACTGGTCTTGACCCACAGCCGATGAAGGACACACCAAGACAAACAGATGCGTATCCAAGACAGACATCCGCCAGCTCCAGACAACAAGTGGTTGATCCATGTTTATCTATTGGTTCATGTCTATGCTATTCCCTCACAATTCGTTCTGTGAAAACATGTGAACATGTCACTAAATCATCCGGACGTCCCATAGGAGCCATGATCCCAAATTTTGCACCATTTGTCTTCATGCAGCCAAAAACATATAAAAACATGAATTCCATGTCTTCCCAGTCAAATTCCCATAGGACGACGTGTTTTCCTACGTCAAAGGCTCCGCCTTCCAGGCTCCCGCTTGGCGAAGGTCTTACGAAGGATGTCACCCGAGGACTCCGAGGAGCACCGCCTGCAATGGTTGTGTTACTGGATGTGCTTCTCCAAGAAATATATACAAATGATTTCTTAAGAAAAGGACTATACAATATAATATAGTGGTGTTTAATGTAACATGTCAACATTTTCCCTCAAAAACAAAGCATAAGGCCACGACTATTCCAATACAAGTTGTCCATTCTCTCTTTTTGGGGGGGCCCTTTTTCCACTTTACAAGCTAGTCCACTCCACCTATCCGATTTATCAGAATATATGAGATGTATATAATATATATGTATATATATACATATATATCAGAATTCTTTGTGTAGGTAATTGGTCCAGCCCTCTTTGCGATTCATTGGCAGGAAGAAGACGAGGCAGAACCAGAGCCGATTTGAGCACCGGCAGCAAGCGCTTGCGAGCGATCCGCTTGCAGGCCTGCAAGGCCTTGCGGGAGGCTGCTTTTCGGCAAAGGCCGACGTGCCTTCTGCAAGGCCCAGGACCCCACAGAGATGGGAAGACCCAGTAATACAAACCTATATATATATATATATTTGGTCCATACTGCAATGCGGCTACCGGTTCCTGCGTAACTTGACTCACAGTGGGTTTGCTGTTCGGTTTGAATCTCCATGTCGAATGGTCGGCGTTTAAACGCTCAGAAAGGAGACCAAGGCAGTGATTATGGTGTTGTAAGGGCTCCAAATTTGAGATTAACCCCAAGACAGCCAGATTCCAACCATAGTCCTTTGGCATGGCATGATCCACTTCTTGCCAAGGTGCAGCAAATGCATATTGCAGAGTGTACTATTCTGTGCATGCAAAGGCTGCATAATAGCCATGCTTGAATCATGGGGTCTGACAGAACGACTGCTTGCTGTGCTCAGCGTTCAGCAGAGAGCGTCACCAGATCCAGAGCCCACTTGTACAGACTGGACTCAGAGTCTGCTGGAGCTTGCTCCAACACTTTTCAAGCCAGTGACGTAAAACGCTCCGCACCACAGGTCCTTTGCTGCTACCTCGCCCAACTGTCTTGACGCAGACAAGCTGTTGGCAGATCGACTGTTGATTTCAATTCTCATAGTGAAATTACTTGGGAAGATGCAGGCTTCAGGCTGAACCAACTTTCAGACACTACTCACGTGTACTCACTGGCAAGTTGTTGTGTCGTCATGGCGCTTGTTGTGTGCCTATGTTGGATGGATGCCCATATACTTGTCAAATGCAGATTAACCTGTCTGGGACGAAACGCTCTCCTCAGTCCATCCCACAAGTCGCAGGATTGCTAAACGGCTGTGTGAACAATCGTTCTTTTGCCTAGCCCGAGTACACAGCCTGGTTCTCTTGTCTTCAACGGATTCATTTCCCTGGCCCTTAAGGGATGCTTTGGTTGACCTATGTTGACCTGTAATGTTCCTTTCTGTGGAGGCTGTTCTTCAGATCCCTTGACGGGTCGGCGAGTGTCACGAACAGCGAGCAGCTTGGCCTGACCATGTTCAGCTTGGCCTGATGACAGACCTGAGGACTTGCACCCACTCGAGCCCCGTTCGAGGGGTTCGAGGGGAAAGGTGAGGGTGCTCCTGATGTGTGAAGCAAGAATGAATTCAATATGTTTTAACGATTACAATGTGGTTCACTTTCTCTAAGTATTCTGGGTGTTTCACCAGACCTGAGAAGGAAGCGGGGGCTTCATGTCGTTGTGCGGAGCTATCGCTCACTCGTTGTGAGGATGTTCTGTGACCCAGACTTTCCTGGACTGCGTTTTCCTAATATGAAAAATTACAGGGCTTGGAGATGATGTGTGTTTTTGCAAGTCATTTTCCCCATCCCTGACATGGTTGCAATCAAACAATTTGGTTCTTCGCATGACCTCAAAGGCCTCGACCTTGTTTCGGGTGGGCCGGTCGGACGGCCTCAGACCGACCTGTGGGTCGGACCTTGTTTCGGGTTTCAGGGCCGGTCACGTGTCCCGGTCGGATCTGCGCAGAGCACAACAAGCACATCTGCTTGCACCAAAGCATATCTCAAAGCTGTAGGTAGGTAGGGACTTCCTGGGGGTGCGCAAGTATTGGCTTAACTTCCAGACAATGGTTTTGGCCGCATCCCGTGCATCCTTCAGATGTCCTTTAGACACAAGCAGACCAAAGCAACCAGCAAGTTCTCTACGGTCACCTCGTGTACAGATGTTGTTTGGCTGGCAATCGCCTGGGTGTTTGTGCCGATGGGCCGCGATACACAGGCTGGAACGATCAGAGACGAAATGGCAATGACTTGGGGCCTGGGGCCCCCCTGTAACTGAAGCAGTTGGAGGTTCTGCTAATTACTGTGGTAACAATAAAGCTTTCTAGTAACTATAGAAGCTACTAGGTGGAGGCCATGGCTATTAGGTTGGAGGCCATCGCTACGAACGTAACAATAGAGCTTCCGTTCGTTTCGTCCGAAACATCATGGCAAAATGGAACCTGCCCACGAATCGGAATGTGTCCGATTCGAGCCGATGTTCTTGCAGTGGTGGTGGGGAGTCCTTTTGATTTAGGTCATAGACCCAACATGACCCAACCATCCACAGAGATTGCGCCCGCCCTGTCGGACGTTATCTCTCGGAGAAAAAAATGCGAGCCCTGAGGATGAGACAGAGTTTTTACGCTGAGGCCGACTCTAAGATCTCTAAGGATCTAAACGAGTATTGTTTCACTTATTGCTTCTTTTGGGTGCTTAAACCAATACTAATTGTAATATTGTAATTTCAACAGAAATGGGCAGAGGAAGCCATCAAGGAAGTGCGGTTTTCTTGTAGTTTCCGGAAGAAGCTCTCAACAGATTGTTTTCATAACTCATGTTTTCAGATATGGTCAGATCTAAGCTTTTCAGCGGGAAGACGAGTTGAGTTGAGCCTTGTTGTTTCACAGTTGCCTCGTGGTTTTCAGTGATTTGTTCGGCCTCCCTTTCTCGGACTTCCGGGTTGAGAACACAGTGCTTCCCAACAGCTGTGGACAAGGACATCAGTCAGCACAAGTCTTAAAGAAAACATATCAAAGACTGTTTGGTGGACACAGATCCCGGATTCGTCAGGGATTCCTTCAAAGTCTTGGCATGGTCAAATTCCATTGACCGATCCCATGTGTGGAACACCAGGTTACTGGTGATCCGACGGAAAACAGCCCCGACGG